TGGGGGGGGGGGGGGGACCAACTAGTCGACTAGTCTGTTGACTATCCGATAAGTAAATGCTTATCGGATAGTTGACTAGAGGTTCCCATCCCTAACTCATACCATAGGCACTCTTCTATATTTACTAATAGTTTACTACTACAGTTAGCACAGTCACAAACACCTCAACTCAGAAAAGTAAATGGAGATTAGGGATATGAATGTGAAGCCGTTTACATGATTAACGGATGAGCCTGGGTTTATCTGTTAATCCTAATAGTTACACACAGGCCGCTCCCACTGCTGCCTGTGTATCAGAGGCAGGGGTGGGGAAGGCAAGAGCTTTTAAGCCCTCCTGAACTCTGATACAGAGGAGGGAGCTGGTATGGATGGAAGCACCGGCTCCTCCCCACATCCCCACTGGTTAAACATGTAACCGCTGTAAATTTCAGAGATTACATGTTTATAAAATTAAATACATTTTAACATTTATACTACAGGACATACATCTGCCCATATCTAAGTAGTATCAAAAGAGGAACCACCCCTCAAAAAAAAACCAACTCCTTGCTTAACAGAAAGTATTGAAAGCTCAGTCTTGCCCCTCTTCACAGGTCCTAGAGTCCATAACCCATATCTTGTGTTCTGACAGGCTAACAATCTTTGGGCATTTAATTTGTAACTTCTAAGCCAATAGGGAATGAAAAGTCATTAAGACTTTGACCAACAACTAATATGTTCCTTTCAAAACTGTAGGGGGGAGTGCTTTTGGGCATTTTCTGTTTGGGAGAAAAGGGGAGGTAGGCTATTCAACCTCGTGGCGATTGTGCTACGAGGTCCAGCAAGGCTACATCTTGTCCCCTATGCTGTTTAACATCTACATGAAGCCTCTGGGAGAGGCCACAACCTAGAATAGCAGGAAATCTGCAGGTCAGGACTGAAACGCTTTGTGAGAACTGTGTGGATAAACCTGCTTGTGTTTTGGCTGACAATACTTACCAGTAGCAGTACTATTACACACATGCAGCGAGTTCACATGAACATACTAATTAAAATGTAATATTTAAATAATGTTAACATGTTCTAACTAACTGCCATGAAATGTCAGATAACTAATTAACTATTAATTACTTACAGTACCTTGTATGGTATCCTTATGGAAGACATAAGTATACACTTTATCATCATCATAAGCAGCAAATACATCTTTATCTATTGGCCAATTTTCCCACAGGATGCCTTTAATAGTTGGTGGAAAATTTGGGATCTCATGAACACCATCATTTACCTAGAAAAATAGTAGTATAAATTACTTACTGAGTAGAAAGCTAATAAGACACACAGAATAGTGTGTGCAGTTCTGGTCACCCATCTCAAAAAAGATAGAAAAGGAGTAAGTGGTCCAGAAGGGGTCATGAAACAGTTTTAGAACATGAAACATTAAAACTGAAAATGAGAAAATACATAGTAACTTTAGATTACTTAAGTAATTATAAATATATATATAAAAACAGTACATAAACCAACTGCCTGAGATTAAGAAGAAATTTTTGCCAAAGGCAAGCTTAGACTGATCAGTCTAGCAACTTCTATGTCCCTCCCTCTGTCAGCTTACTTTTTTGGGGGCAGAGGGTGTATGACAAATACGTGCCAATCGGCACGTTTCTTTATGCTGTGATAAAACAAACCACACTGTAGAAATAACGTACAGACAACTCTGCTTGGAATTAATGTCATGAATTGACTTACTGGGCAATACAGAAAGCCTTCACTTTTGTCATCAATGAAAACCAATCTGGTTCCACTGGAGTCTGGAAAGATTTTTCTGACACTGACAGGATGCCGATATTCATTCACATATTGCCAGTCTTCAATGTAGAAATACTGAATAATACCTGTCTAATAATAAATAATAACTCACTCAGAATACTATTACCACACAAGCAGCTATAATGTAAACATATTTGAGGTAATTCATTTTGATGGAGTTACTCTAATGGTATTCCATCTTGGTTTATCCTGTCTTAGGGGTGCTAATGTGTCCTTTAAGAACCATACACTCTTTACCACTTTAAACTGTGAGCTGTTTGAGGCAGGCACCATGCCTTTATGTTTGTACAGAGGATGGCACATGGCAGATGACAACTCCTATGTAGTTGTCACAAAATAACCTAGATTATTAGATCTTTATAGTAGGGACTATTTTTTCCCTTGGAGGTCTATAAGGCTCCTAGCACGATGAGGGCCTGATCCTTGATTGATGCCCTTTGGTGCCACTATAAAACAAATAAATAATATTAAATTCATTAGCAGTTTTGCTAATGTCTTCAACGAAAGCAGGAGTTGGCCTTAAGCTATGACGCTGAGCATCAACCATAAATAACTGAACTATTGTAATGTTCCAGTGCAATTGCATCACAGAGACCTAGATAATTAAGGAAGCTGGCTGAAATTTTGTCTGTGCTTAAAAACAGCTTGCATACAAAGTAAGTCAAGGTACACTACATATCAGAACCATACACTTTATGTTTACTTTAGGAAGAAAAACAGTGTAAGTTATCAAAAAAAAAAAAAAAAAAAAACACAACTTACTGAATGTAAGAAAAATTTGAAACAAGCAAAGTACTTACATCTGTACCATAGATGAGGAAATCACCAGTAAGAGCATGGCACAAGATTCGACATTTATCATCCACAGTTGGGAAAAGTCGAGTCTCTCGTTCTTCCTGAGCATCCAAACCATCACCTTCTATCTAAAGTATAAAAATAATCAAAACAAACCACTACACTACCACTAGCAAGATATTAATGAATTTTGTTTTTATGAAACTGACAGCAAGGCATTACCTTATTGCAGTGGTCCCCAAGGCAGTGCCCGTGGGCGCAATGGCGCCTGCTGGGGCATTTATGTGCGCCCGCCTAGTGACCCGGGCTGGCCCGAGCCATTATTACACCCTGGGCACCCAGCGCATGCGCAGCCCAAGCCCCTGGGCGTGCGGAAGCCCCAAAAGGTTGGGGACCACTGCCTTATTGGATATAATCAGCTCAGATTTGTCCTCTCATATGTACAACTTACAAACCACTAGCTGCTCCCTAAAGCACCATACAGAATTTCCAAAGAAAGCTATTAATCAGTTCATAAGCTAGCACTTTTTTCGTATACAAGACAGAATTTACACTTTGGCAAGCCACACATAACTCAGTTGTGGTTCTCATGTTTGCTACCAAAATACTTTCTTGTAAGGTTTTTAACTTTTATGTTGGTTAGTTACATCTACCTACCCACTCAGCACCTAATTTCCACTCTAACAAATCTTACTATCATTAGGACTTACAATTTCTCTCTGTCTACTGCCACTTTAGCTGTCCTTTTAGAGTTCCAGATCTTCTGTATGCTTACCATATGCAACTGGACTTTACCCTCAAAAAGTGCAGCGGCATAGTCAGAATTGAGAGACATGCTGGCTACTGTCCCCAGATACTCCATGTCTTTAAGCTTTTTTACACCTACGAAATTTAATGCAGAGGGGAAAAATTAATTGTGCATGGTGCATTTTGTGACCGTATTACCTTAGATTATTAGGAATTACTACTACTAATAATAAGGCGGCAAGGGAGTATAAAGAGGAGAAGTAGAAGGAAGCCTTGATAGAAACATGGGAGACTGCTTTCTCATAGTCACATCTTTACGTTACTAAGGATTAAAGGGGGCCCTCTTTCCCAATGCAATTTCACTAATCTACAATTATATTCATCTATGACTAATGGTGGACTTTTTTCTCTTTAGAGCGATCTTTTTGTTCACAAAAGATCCTGGATTGATAAATACTTGAGATTTAAGTGTGATGCCTAAAAAAAAGGTGTAGTACAAGCTTTTTTACCCTGCTCCACCAACCCATCTAAACCCTGTTCTAAAAAGAACACCTCAAGAAATTTGAAAACAAGTTGAGTCTCCATGTTTATGGCTTCTCTCCTAATTAAATTGCACATAAGCCAAACAACCTTCAGTTGGTGGCAACTTCTAGGCAGCATGGCCTGATGACATAAATAACGAAAGGCTTCATCTAACCCTTCAAACCCTGAATTTTTATTCTAATTGCTTCCACTATGTCTTGATTGTACTAATCCAAATTCTGGGAATCCAATGTGCTGTCCTGAATCTTAGTGTCACATGAGATTATACAATAACAACACCTTGCATTAGTCAGGATATTAGAAGTGTTAAAAAAAACACCTGTTTTAGAAAATGGATCTATATTTAGCAGATAATGGATGATAAAATACTGTACTCTAAAATGAGAAAATTACAGTCATACTTACTATTCTCTCCAAGTGCATAAAACCAAGCACGATTGTTCATTCCTACAGCCAAATGATAAAGACCTACAGCAACAAAGTTTGGCTCCACTTCAACAGAAACTGTGATTGGTAGCTCCTATAAGGAAATCACACTCATTTGCCACATTGTTATTGCTTACTTAAAAGTTACATCTAAATTAAGTGAAAAATTAATAAAATGGCATACTTTTTCAACATGATTGACCACAGTAACTTCAAGAAGAGAAGTGAGGTATGCAACACGTGTGCTGCAAGTGTCTCCAAGGATTGGAAGCTTTGTCAAGAAGACATGGAGTGAGCCTCTTTGTGTAGATACTGCCAACAACTGCCCATCATCTGTCCAAGCCAGGTGATCAAGGCCTAAAATATTGACAAGCTTTCACAACAACAAAAAAAACCTACTTGATTTTCAGTGAAACCTACAAGCCATTCTATTGTTTTTAAAAAGAAACCCTGACCTGATTTCATTATTTAAGAATATTTTTCAACTCTTTGCACTGAAGTATAAAAAGTATGTAAAACAGAACAAAAATAGTTTATCATAGATCACAACCTGCTATTCTGGTATTAGTTTTAGAAGGAATTACTTCAAAATTCACAATAAATGAATTGAGTATTGAAATAAGAGAAACACAGGACTCCAGCTCCAGAGATGTAGTCTCATTTCAATACTCTGAAAGTAATCAGGATTAGAATAGAATAGACCCAATACATGCTCTTAGCACAAGAACATGCCACTCAGAAAAATAAACCACAATGCAAAATGGGAAAAAATAAACACTAAATTATTTTAGTAATTTGAATATTACATGCTATGGACTGAAAAACAGTGGACAATCAACTATTTTTGAAAAACAGAATCTCAGCAATTTTTAAAATCCTCCCCTCTCCCACAAAAAAAGCTACATTAAATATCCAGTTTGGCAAATAGACCATCTCATAATACATACATATTGGAAAGGAAGGAGTTAACCACAGTCTATATTTAGAGTGCTATTCAATAAATATTGTCTATACTGTCTCTCTTCTAAACAACTTGTCAATATAAATAAAATTCTGTTTTATATGATTTGGCAAAACATGTCAGCATTGAAAACTTGATCATACCTTTATTTTCATCATCCAGGTTTATTATAGCATACATTTCCTTCAGTTCTGACAGGTCATGGATCTTAATGCTACAAAAAAAATATAAAGAGTCATTACCTTTACTAGTACTATATTCATTGATTACTTTCATTTCATGATGGTTATGATGAGAGAGCGCTGATTCACTACATTCCAGCTCTGGAAGGGAGAGGGAGGAGAGGGGACAGAGTACGAATCAAGCAATTCACAGCTCCTCCAAAACTGGTGGGAGGGAGGGAAAGGTGCAGATAAGTGCAGGGTTCGGGTGCCCAGTGAGCAAGGCATGTTGGGGAGGAGGAGCTGACAAAATAGCTATTCCATGTCTTTTGAGTGTGCCCATTATTTTGAAATAGATTTCAAAATAATGGTGCGCTATTCCGGTGTCCCTGTAATCCTCGCTCCAAGAGGTTTAAGGGATGTTTTGGAATTCCGCTTTATTCTGAAATTACTTCAAAATAAGCTATGCAATTCTCATTGTGCAAATTGTGTAGCTTATTTTGAGGTAAGGGTGTGCGGTGTAGATGCACCTTATGTGTCATGGGCCTCTTCTCTGGGGCAGGTGAGGTGGTCTGTTGATCCAATGTCTACTATAATGGAATCCTGAACTGAGGGTAACAATCGAGGTGCTACTATAGTACAAATAATGAATATTAATAATGAGGATTCTGTTGTGCTAAGTACTGTACAAGTAGATAATAAAAGATATGCAGATAATTTATCTGTTTGGTCATAGTGTGAAAATCTAACTTTCACATTATGCCGATCATAGAAGTTGAGATTGTGTGGAATGCTCTTATTTCTGAGGCAAAACGCTTTAGATTGTAGCATGATCTCTCAATGGAGAAAACTGTCCTAAATACTGATTTATCCAAGCCAAAATTTTCGTAGCTTCAGAGCATGAATTTTACATTGTTCTAAATAAATTTTAGACATCTAACAAACAGAGGGGCTGTCTACACACAGAGTTTGTACCACTATATTGGTTTAAAAATAGATACACTTAAGTATAACTTCTCCTTGCTTGGACCCTGTTATACAGTCGATATAATAGCCTTACGTCAATGTAGCTTACTCCTGTAAATTCAACTCCACTGACATAAATACCTTTGTACCGAATAATTGCATCCACACTTTAACTGTGTTGGTTTGTAAACAGATATACCTTCATACAGATCAACCCTTAGTATTCCATAAATGAGTTAAATTTTCTCAATAATAGATTAAGTGGATTAGATGAACAACTACTGCTAACAGGAACTCTGTATCTAATCAGTAGTACACAGTAATGAAAGTATATTAGTAACACTTTTGGATTCAAGTACCACATTAGCCAATATAAAAGAAACAAGAAATTAAAAGATGTAACAATTAAGAAAGTAAGTAATCGTGCTTGATTTAAGATGCTTGCTATTCAAACATTTTATATACAAATAGGGTCACTTACCAGTTGTCTCCACATGATGCAGCTTTGTTTAGTGATTGTGATATTGCAATACTCATTAGGTTGTCCTTATGATTGCGAGCTTGAAAAATCTCTTGACCAATCTCACGAATGTGTGTAGAAATAACAACAAAGCACCCACGTGAGAAGCCAATCATGATGTAGCCATCACCGTACCTACAGCAAAACCAACAATAGAAGTGGGAGAGAGATGCTGGGCAGCCTGGCTACAACATATAGTAATGCAATATGAGAATGAGGACTTTGAGCAGGCTGAAAGTCAAAGTGCTGAAGAAACAAAGAGGGAAAGAAAAAAAAACCCACACAGAATCTTCCTACAGCAGACATAAAAATATTTGTTGATGGGAGCTGCGTGTAGGACTCTTCTCCTCATTGAAGGAAAACAGCAGACAGGAGGCTCCTGGGAGCAGCAGTAAGGAGGAGGGGTACCCTGCTCTTGACAAAACCACCTTAGAATGGTTCCCCAGGTCCTTGTCCAGCACACCAACCCCAAGGATGGCCCTGCTGGGTCTGGTACTAGTCAACATTTTCATTAATGATTTGGATAATGAAGTGGAGAGTATGGGCTTACAAATTCTGAAGATGACAGACACCAAGCAGAGAGGTGTTGTTAGAACTTGGGAGCACAGGGTTAGAATTAAAAATTAACTTGGTCTGAAACGAACAAGATGAAATTCAGTAAAGATAAGTGCAAAGTACTGAACTCTGAAAGGGAAATCAAATGCACAACTACAAAATTGGGAATAATTGGCTAGGCAGTAGTAGTGCTGAAAGGATCTGGGGCTTATAGTGAATCACAAGTTGAATATGAATCAGCACATAGATAAACCACAATATGTCAGGGAAGTGTCTGCAAAGCTTTTGTAAGGAAGACTCACGCTTCACCAATCCCATTACAATTGGAGGTCAGGGTTGTGACCTGGGGAAGGAAATAGGGGTGCGGGGTCTGGAAGGGGTATGGGTAGAGGGTTGTGTGTGGGGGGGAGGGAAGAAGAAGAGGGGATGGGGTGCCAGGTGCAGGTTCTGGCCAGGAGGCACTTATCTAGGCAGCTCCTGGCCACCAGTCCAGCAGCATCCTCAGGCAGGCTACCTGCCTTCTGTGCTCCTGCATGCTACTCAAAGGCTCTGACTACAGAGGCCATGTACTCTCTGAGCCATGCACTCTTTGCGGGAAGCCCTCCATGCGCTGCCTGAGCTGCAAGCATGGCAGGCAACTCGGCTGAACTGTGGCTAATGGAAGTTGTGAGATTGTGCTGGGGGTGGAGGCAGCTTGCAGAGCCCCCTCACCAGAGGGCAAGGCACATAGAGAGCACATGGTCTCCACAGCTGACTGTTGTGTGTAGAAGGCAAAGAGCCTGCCAAAGGCTTCAGTTTGGCTGAGGGATGGTGGCAGGCTGGACGTAAACTGTGAAGTTTACAAAGGATGTAAACAGGAAAAGGATGTAAATAGTGAAGTGGCAAAGTTTGCAGATGATACAAAATTATTTAAAATAGTTAAGTCAAAAGCTGATTGTGAAAGGATCACACTAACTTGGGTGACCAGACAACAAAATGGCAAATTAAAATTTAATATTGATGCACAATGGGAAAAATAACTCCAAATGTACAAAATCATGGGGGTTTATATTAGGGATATTAAAATGCATGTAATTTCAGCAGTACTAGCTCCCACTTAAAAGACTGGGTATGTTTAGTGTTGAGAAAGCAAAACTTTGTGGACCTAAGAAAAAAGTCTTCAAATATCTCAAGGGCTACTATAAAGAGGATGGCAGTCAACTGTCTCTCAAGTTCAGTAACCAGCAGGACAAATAGTAATGGGCTTAATCTGCAGTATAGGAGAGATTTAGATATTAGAAAAAACTATAAGGATAATAGGCTTCCAACAGAGGTTGTGAAATCTCCATTATTCAAAGTTTTTAAGAACAACCACTTGTCAGGTATACTTTATCCTACCTCAGCAGAGGGGTTTGGACAAGATAACCTTGTGAGGTCCCTTCTAGCCCCAAATTTCTATGATTCTGTGTGTCTGCCTCAGTTTCCTCACCACTCCAAGGCATTATTTGGGCTGTCCAGAGAGCTTGGGGCTTTCTGGGCTCAGAAAAGTGAGCAGGACCCTCATGCCTTCAAAGGCTACCATTTGCTAGGTTGTCCTTGCTCTTTCCTGCCTCATACTACTGCTTTCTGTCTAGCTCGCTATTCCTGTGTGTTCTCGTATTTAAATACTTCCTGGTCACCTGAATGCCTTTATTCTGCTCCTATCTTTTTCTCCTCCTTGACAAGTGTAAACTCAATTGGATTTTCAAGGCTTGAGCCCACCCATCATTCCTAAGCATTGGAATCTGAGTAGGGTCACTGAGTCCTAAACAATCATCCAAGGGTGGGCAAAATATGGCCTGTGCCACCAGATCTGGCTTGCAGCCCATAGATAGCCTTGTGCAGACTTCCCTGCCTTCCTCACCCCTTCACACCACTCAGAGGGCCAAGTGTTTCTTTGAGTGCCACTGGGAGTCAGGGGGAGGAGGCTGGGGGAGAGAATGTGTTTGCAGGGCAGGCAGCACCCTAAAGTACTGCCCTTCAGGGCTTGCAGTGGCCATGGAAATATATGGGCCCTGCAGCTGGCCACTCTGAGTGTCATGTGGGGGGCATAGAAGGCATGGAGTCTACCGTAGGGTCCTGCTGGGCTGCTGGCTGGGAAGCTCCTGGGTAAGTGCCTCCTGCCCAGAGCCTGCCTTTGGCACCTCAGCTCCCCCCTTCCCAAACTCTCTGCCCCCGCTGCACACCCAAACCACATAACTCAAACACTCCACATCCTGCTCCTGCACCCATTCCCCCTCCCAGATTCTGTGCTTCCATCACCTGCCCCAGGTCACAATCCAAATCTCTGCATCCCCCTCCTGCACCTATGCCACAAGTCACAACCCCCTCCCAGCTTGCACCCTCCTCCTGGTTAGAATCCTCTTGAGCACCTAAAGCCCCACCCAGATCCTGCACACCCTCCTGCACTGTAATCCCTTGACCCAAGTCACAACCCTCTCCTTCCCTCAAACTCCCTCCCAGCTCCCACACTCCCTCTGGCACTCCATCTCCCTATCTTGAGCTTCCTTCTGCACCCACCTTTCATCCCAAATACCACACCTCCTTTAATTTCATGGATGAGTGTGGCCCTTGACCACTTACAAATTCTTGGAGTGGCACCCCATTACAAATTATTGCCAACCCCTGCCACTGTCACATCTAGTGACAAAACTCCTTACCAAAAAGCTGCATACAAGCAGGTTACTCACCCAGAGAATCATTGAATGGGTTTTATTGATATGTTTACATAAAACTCTGTTTATTTACAAGAATATACACGCCTACAGCTGGCCTTCATTAGCTAACTTGGGGCAGAGTTGTGGGAAGTTCCAGACCCAGGGCTTTGGTTTTAGCCTAAATGTCTACACTGCAATTTTACTCCATGGCATGAGTCCTGCAAGCCTAAGTCAGCTGATGCAAGCCAGCCTCAGGTGTGTATATTTTTGTAAATAAACAGATTATATCAAGAACGTTCCCTGATTCTGTGTCACCAACTTCTCCTCTAACAGAAGCCACTCACTAATTTCAGCAACCATATCATTACCAAGAATGAGTACAACCACAGTTCTACTGTTTCAGTTTGACATCCCAGCTTTTTAAACCACAATTTTCAGTTGATGTGACTGTAAATTGTAGATACCCTTAGTCCAGCAGTGACTAAACTTCTCCTCATCAGTAATGGAATCTGTCAATGCCCTCCCACCCAAGGCTGAATCTCTCTAAACTGTGACTTTCTGGTCCAGCAACTGTTCCAGGATCAGAGAGTCCTGGTGGAGGACTGGTGGCTGGGAGCCCTGTGGATTGACAGGGCAGCAGGCTGCTAGCAGTCAACTACCAGAGGGGCTGGGAGCCCAGTGCACCCCAGTTGAGCTGCCCGGTTACAGTGGGGCTGGAGCTGGGCCAGGGAGCCAGAAGTGACCTTCCTAGGTTTGGAAAAATCCTAATCTGGGACCAGTTGGATCTCAAGGGTGCCAGACCAGGGAGATCCCACCTGCACTGTAATTGGTTCTTGGGCTGAAAACAAAACTGGGAGCAGAACTGAGGACGAAGAAGGAGATGGGAAAGAGGTGGGACTAGAGGGGGAGGCTGGCCTGGGGGCAGAATGAGAATGGAGGGCAGAGTAGAGGACATAGTGGAGCAGGGCTGGGGCTGGAGCAGAGTTGTGGTTTGAGATGGTCTGAGGGCAGAGCTTGGAGCAGAGCAGAGCCGCGGCTGGAAATGAAGAGGCGCTGCAAATGGAGCTGTGCTGGGAGTGAAGCAGTGCTGGGTGGTGTTCCCTCCCTGTCCCCTCTGGTGGCTGGCCCAGGCCCTGCCAAGTGCTCCTTGAACATTACCTCATGTCCAGTTTAGGGACCAGTGCTTTAGTCTGAAAAGAATACTGTATTAAAAGGACTATTGTACATCCTCAAAATCCTCATGTGATAGTGGGTTAAATACCAAAAATAAAAATAATATCATTTAAAAAGATGCCCCTCAACTTTTTCTTGCAATTTTAAGAACTTAGTGCTTACTCACCATCTATAGGTTACAATGTTGCCATAGCGCTGCTGGAATTCCAGATCAATTGGGTTATCAGGATCATTCAAATTAAAAAGAAACAATGTTTTTTTGCCAACCACCACACTTATCTGCCAATTGAAAAGTGAAAAACACACCCAGTGAGAACATTTTAAAAAACACTACAGTACTGTTTTTACTAAATGATGAAACTTTGTACTAATTATCTTCAGAATTCTGTTCAAGGTCTAGTTCCATTGGTCAAGTTATAACTTGACAGTCATCAGATATTGTATTTTGGGGATGCTGAGATTTTTCTCCTTTAGATGCAAGGAAACAGAAGCACAGTATTTGGAGGTTAATTTTAGTCATTGCCACTGCAATGATAAACAAAGCTTCTAAGCAGATATCATTTCTAAACATGAAAAATATGTAATAGAACGAAATTTCCTTAAAAGTTATTCAAGTTACTTTAAAATGATTTCCTTAAAATTATTAAGACATAGAATTTAACTTCTATCCAAAGAAATGCTTCTTATTTGAAGAAATCCCCAGAGATAATGCATTTTGTCTCTAGGGCAGGGGTTCTCAAACTGAGAGTCAGGACTACAAAATAGGTTGCAACTCCCTTTGAATGGGATCACATGGACTGGCTTAGAATTGCGAGAGTCCAAGACTGAAGTCCATGCCCCATTGTCCAGGGCCAAACCAAAGCCGGATGGCTTCAGTCTTGGGCAGCAGCAG